AAGGTGTTTCATCTGGGCCCTACTTGGTATAAATACATGTAAAAATACTATTTTGAGTTGGGGGACATACTTTTGACATAATTTAGACCTAAGGAGGCTAAGGAGATCGGGGATTCGACCTAAGGATGAAAGAACACGCTAGGAGCAAGGCGGAGAATTCTTCTACGAGTTTTTTACTTCCTTCTTCCTATTTCCATTAGGTTATGAATTTTAGTATTGTAATTATGCATACTATTATGAATATCTAATTTGTTATCTAGGGTTTTGATGGAACCTATTGGAGGATGATTTTCCTGTTACGTTAATATAGATTTGTTGAGCTTTTTCTCTAATTGTTCAACTACGTTTATATTGTGGTTGGTTGAAGAGCTCTCAATCGACTGTGCCTATTTAGTATGTATTACTCGGGAGAGAGTTTATATTTAGGTAGTTGTTGAACAACACCACTTGTAACGTATATGAAGGATCAATACGAAGGGTTTAAAGGTGGGATTAGGGATAACAAAACTTGGTGCGATCCGAATGAGCCATACTTAATGTCAGCTAGCGTAATTCGGGAGAATATATCTAGTAAATTGTGGTAATTACTCGGGAGAGAGTTACAATAGTCAGAGTGCTCATGATCGATAGAGAAGATTTAGGCAAATTTATAGATAACGTGGCGGAAAGGATTCCAATAATAGGGAAAATCATAACTCTGGACCTCCTTAATCTTATCTCCAACTGATGATAGGATATAATTATATATTTTAGTCTCTTACTACACTCTAATTTACTGCACTTTAATTGAGTTTGAGCTTTAATCGCTAGTGTTTTACACAAACTGTGTTTTATGCCTTGTAGGAGTGATTCCGAGCTATATAGATGTTATGGAATGAATTCAAGTAATTTTGATATTTGAAGGGTGAGTAAAAGTCCAAAAAATTAAGCCGGGATCGTGTTCGGGGGTCAAATTTGATAGTTAAGTACAAACAAAGATTCGAGTAGGTATATTGTGCACTGTCTAGTAAAATAGATATAACTCTTATCTCCAAACTCCATTTGGGCTATATAATATATGGTTGGAAAGCTAACTCAAAGAGCTACAACTTTCATGTTTTAGGTTTTTCCAAATTCCAAACGGAACAGGGTAAAAACGCGATCGAAACTGCGACCGCGGACCTGGATGCGGACTGAGGCAGTGCACTGTGAAAATACCGCACCCGAACCGCGAGCATCTAGACCTGAAAATTGTCCTTTTTGCATTAAAGAAGGTATAATTATGTGGGTCCGACCCTAATTGGTCTATATACATGGAAAAATGGTATTTTGAGGAGGTTGGACAGATTTTTGACACAGATTCGACCTAAGGAGGCAGAGACACAATAGGAGCAAGGTGGAGAATTTTTCTACGAGTTTTTCCTTCCTCTTCCTATTTTTCATTGTTGTTATGACTTTTAGTATTGTAGTTTTACATACTATTATGAATAGCTAATTTGTTATCTAGGGTTTTGATAGAACTTTTTGTAGGATAAATTCTTATTATATTTTTATATAATTGAGTCGTTGGATTTCTCTACTTGTTCAACTACGTGTTTATTGTTGTTGATTGAATGGTCATCGATTGACTATGCCTATTTATTATGTGTTGCTTGAGAAAGTATACATATTTAGGTGGTTGTTGAACAACGTCACTCCTAACGTATGTGAGAAATCAATACAGCAGGTTTAAAGGCAGGTTTAGAAATAACAAATCCTTGACGTGGTCATAGTGAGCGGTTAGATAAAGCCAACTAGCGTAGTTTGAGAGAATATGTCTAGTAAATTGTTGTAGTTGCTCAAGAGAGAATTACGACACCTAAAGTGATCACAATCAATAGAGAATACATTGGAAAAATTGTAGGGAATATAGCTAGAAAGATTCCGACAATTGAAAAAATCATAACTCTAGACCTCCTTAATTTAGTCTCCAACCCTTTGTCTCGTTAGTTGATAATTTTACCGCTTTCTAGTATTTGCTAGTTAATTAGTTAGAAATATAAATCTCAATCTTTATAATTTAGAAAATTGTTCAAACTTATCTTTTTAGTGGCACTAAACAGATATAGCTAAGCCTTAGTTCTCTGTGGGATTCGACTCCGACTTTTAGACCGGATTATATTTATAGCGACTGCTTATCCTTTTTAGGACTAGAGTTGGGCGTGATCACCAACCCGTAATGTCTTTAGTGTTAATCTACTAATTTAATTTGTTATTTAAATAGATACAAGAATCTTAATATTTATAACATAGAAATTGTTCAAGCTTGTCTTCTTATCAATATTGAACAATTGTAGCTAATCCTTAGTTATCTGTGAGATCGAATCCGAACTTGTAAAACGGATTATATTTGCAATGACCGCGTAGTCCTTTTTATAAGGCATAGTTGGGCATAATCAAATTTTTGCGCCGTTGCCGGGGAACTAACGGTATAGTTGTAGGTGTACATATTTCTAGGTTGCAAGTTTGAACTTTTGTTTTTGTTTTCTTGTATTTGATTTTTGTGTTAATTTTTATTTTTGATCTGAGACACATGGCATCTTGGAATTATGAGAGTTTTAATGTTGGTAATTCTACTTTTGATCCTCCTTATGAGTTTAGTGGAGGAAACCACCCAAGGAAAAATTATCAAAATATTTACGACAGCGAGTTATGTGCACTAACTCAATCTTATGTGTGGAATATGTGTGATATGTATGGTGGTCAAGATGGTCACTTTCGTAGTTGTGATTATATTTCTTATCTTCCCCCCACCCCTTACTTTGATGGTTCTTCTTTTTCTTGTGAAGTTAATAGGAACAAAGAAACCAGGGATGATGACATGAAATAGATCGAGGATATACTAAAGTCCCTTGTGGAACAATATGATGAGATACAACTGCGGGTACAAAGGCAAGATGCAACTATTCGCAATTTGGAAGCTCAAGTGGGTCAACTAGTTGAAGCTTTTAATGCTCAATATGCCAATATTATGGATAGCAGCCAGGAACACTGTGCATTAGAGATGAAAATTGAGGTGCCAATGGAGGGGTCCAAAGTAGAACCCCAACACTCTAACCAACTAGAATTTAAAGATGTCGATGGTGAAGAAGTAATACTAGAGTCAACCAGGGATATTGAAAATACAAATTTAGTTGACTCTAGTGTGGTTGATATTGAGGAGGTCAAAAATCTTGAAGTTCATGCCTTTGAGCGTGTTGGAACTCATTCTAAACACTTCTCTGCATTATGTTCGGATGGTGAAATCGGAATGGATTTTTACGAGCATAAAAAGGAATCCATGGAAGAGGTAGATGAGCCTTATATTTTGAAATTTTCAAGTTTGTCTAGACAAGGTGACACTCCTCGGTCGAGAGCCAAAAAGTGCATGAGACTTTATCTAATTTCTCGCTCGCAACAATTTGTATCGCTCCAAGAGCATGATCATAGAGCAGAATCAAAACTTGAGGTCCAATTCATAAGTTCAAAGTGGAGGCAGAAAGTTATTCGCATCATGCCGCGACGCTAAATCAAGCGTTTATTGGGAGGTAACTCAGTTTTACTACTTTCTTTTATTTTTTTATTTTTATTTTTTATTTTTCTTAATTGTATTATTTTTGTAGTACGGATTTTTTATTTTCTAGGAGCATGGAAAGTAAAGCTATTGGAAGGATGCAACAGCAAACCAGATGGCTAGAATTAAGTGTGAAGTGCTCGCGCAAAGGACCAAGCCTGGGAGAAGTCTGAGCACCCCATAAGTTTCTAGTGCTTCGGCCTTTAGCCTACCAGAGAGTTTCTTTTACCCTCTTATTAGTTATGTTGTGCATTAGGGACAATGCACAATTTTAAGTGTGGGGTGAGGAGATTATCTGGATGACTTTCTATGCTATTTTAGTTGTGTTAGTTTAATTAAATATTTTTTTTAGAAAAAATGAAAAAAAAAAAGATTGGACTTTTCCCGGCGATGGATATCCTAGACTATTTTCTTGAGGTATTTAATTCTAGTAACCCCTTAGCGGGAAAATTCTATAACCATTCGGGCATAAACAAATTCTTCGCTATAAAAAAAAAGAAAAAAAAAGATTTACTTTTTAGCTAGTATAGTAATTCTTCCTTGGTTTTTCTTTTCGCCGCGGTTCTTTTTCAAGAGTTTTGTTTGAATCGGGTGTAGCTAGTTTTATTTTTTTAGGAATAGGAGCCATGGTGATATGAATTGAACTGAAGCAATATCTCTTGACTTTGTTATGCCTTGAGAATAGTGAGTACTTTAGTTGTGACGCTTAGGCTCAATTTTTTACTCTTGTATAAGTATCTTAAATCATATAATTTTAAATTTTCTTAACTGTTTTGACTAGAGTGTCTTGATGAGTCCAATCTTGAGTGAATTATGTGTCATGTGTGTGTAAGGTTTTGTGTTATTCTATGCATTGCATTTGATGTCTAGAACTTGCCTCGTGTGTTTGCAAAGCGAAATAGTAGTTTTATTCAGTCTTGGAAGTGATATAGGTATTTCTTTGTTGAGCCATATATATATTTTACCCGCCTAATTATTATGTATCGTAGTTAGCCCCTTTGAGCCTGTAATCCTTTTTCGTTGGCAACGACATTACAAGCCTTACCCAATTGTTTGAATTAACCATCTATTTGAACCCTTTCATCTCTCATGAGCACTTGAATTGTTATGAACTTTGTAAAAGTTAAAGTGTGAGGTGGTTGGTTTGGCTTTTGAGTGGAATTAATGAAATAAGGAGAAAGGTACATTATGTTGGAAAAAAATAAGAGTCACTTGAATTGGGAAAAAAATAAAGAAAAATAATAGTTGTATTGTTGTGAAGAATATTCATTGTGGTGGTAGCTTCTTGTAGTGGTGGATTTTGATGTAATTATGCTTAAAGAAGTATGGGGTAATATAAATTGAAGTGAAGGTGGAGTTTTGGTTTTACATAAGTATGAACTTGAATGTTAAAGTATATATATTAAAGTGTTTATACATACTTGAGAAGATGGTAGGGAGAATTCAGTCCTGGACTACTAAGTTCCTAACCTGTGCAGGAAGAGTCCAACTTATCAAAAGCATCCTATTCTCCATTCAAGTGTATTGGTCTCAAATCTTCCTATTGCCTAAGAAGCTCATTTTGTTGGTTGAAAGTGTCTATAGAAAGTTCTTATGGACGGGAAATTTTGAGAGTACAAGGAAGACACTTATAGCTTGGGATAGATTGAGTTGTCCAAGGGTAGCAAGAGGTTCGAATTTGCTGGATATAGGCACATGGAACAAAGCTGCAATGTGCAAACTACTATGGAACTTGTGCAAAAAGAAGGATAAATTATGGGTTCAATGGGTTCATGTATACTATAAAAAGTACAATCCTGGCTGGGGGACTGAACCAAAGCAGGCATCTTGGGTGATTCAAAAAATCTTTAAAGCCAAGAAGTATTTTGCAGAAGGTGGTTACACAGAGGATGATGTGCTTAGAATGAAGACTTTCAGTATTAAAGATGTGTACTTTAAGAATATAGGAGAATTCAGTAAAGTTTCATGGAGAAGGATCATCTGGAACAATGCTGGATTACCAAAATGGATATTCATTGGATATTTGGCTGCTCATAGAAGACTACAAACAAGAAACAGATTGAAAAAGGGGGGATGTGTAGAAGATGACTCATGTCCATTATGCAATACAAAAGAAAGACCATGAATAACTTATTCTGTGTATGCTCATTCTCAAAGATAATATGGGATGCTATGTTACGATGGCTGAAGATTGTTAGACCAGTTATAGATTGGGAACATGAGATGCAATTGGCTGAACAACACTGTCGTGGTAGGAGTGCAGCTGCTGAAATCTATAGGATGATGCTGGTTGGTAGCATGTACTATATTTGGCAAGAAAGGAATGCTAGATTCTTTCAAGAAATACAGAGGACTGATGAAACAATTACTAGAAGTTTAGCACAAGATATACAATGTAGAGGAAATGTAAAGAAATGTTTGAAAAGGAAACTGATTGAATTGAATTCTTATCCTACTGTTTAGTGAAATATATAGATAGAGATACGAGGAGATTAGAGGAAAGGAAGAAGTAGCTTAGTCTGGGGCGTATTTCCAGAACAAGCTACAGAAAATCAATGTAAATATTACTTGGTAATAAAAGTTTTAGTTACCAAAAAAAATATGTATTAAAGTGCTTAGAGAGATGTAGTCACTCTCATATCCAAATGTATCCTACCCAACCCGCAGTCTACATTACAACCAATTAAAGTCCTACTTGATCCTAGACTGAATGAGCTCGATTAGTAGAGTATTACACTAAGCCTATGGTGCATCTTTTGTGGCATATGAATGTTATTTCTGAGAGTAAGTGAATTCTTTCTATCTTGAGTTCCAAATTGTTCTTAAATTTCATTGTGTAGAACTACTCTCTTTTGTTGTATGAGGGCACTTGATTCATGAAAGAAAGGTAATTTCAATGACCTCTATGTTAGAGTAAGTGGGTGAGTTGTGAATAATGCGTGGTACTTGTAAGTAAAATCTTGAGGTGAAGTTGTTACACTTTTGTGCTTATTCTATTTTAAATATTCTTGGTGTGATGAATTAGGAAAATTGCTTAATAAGGTCGTGTCTATATAAAGTGTAGTTTGATTGCTCGAGGACGAGCAATGGTTTAAGTGTGGGGTATTGATGATAGGCTATAATTGCATATTATAGTCGCTTATTACACTATAATTTACTGTACTTTAATTGATTTCGAGCTTTAATAGCTAGTATTTTGCACTAATGGTGTGTTTTATACCTTGTAGGAGTGATCTCGAGCTATGTCGATGTTATGGAATGAATTCAGTGATTTAGAGATTTGAAGTCTGAGTAAAAGCCCAAGGAATTAAGATGGGATCGTGTTCGGGGATCAACGGATGATAGTTAAGAACGAAACAAAGAATCGAACGGACATACGACACATTGTCTAGTAAAATGCACATAACTTTTTGCTCAGAACTCCGTTCGGGATCCACAATATATTGTTGGAAAGCTATTTGAAAGGGCTACAATTTTAATATTTTTCATTTTCGCGAATTCATCTGTGAAAATTTCATGTAGCCCGTCAAGAATAAGCTCTCCGAACTTCCCCACAAGCGCACCACGTGGCTGCGCTTGTGCAAATTTTACAGAGCCAAAGTCCTATATCGCTCAGGAAAAGGTATTTCGTCTGGGCCCGACCCTACTTGGTATAAATACGTATAAAATGCTATTTTAAGGAGGGGGCATACTTTTGACATAATTTAGACCTAAGAAGGCTAAGGAGACCGAGGATTCAACTTAAAGAGGAAAGAACAAGCTAGGAGCAAGGCGGAGAATTCTTCTACGAGTTTTTTACTTCCTTCTTCCTATCTCCATTATTGGTTATGAAATATAGCATTGTAATTATGCATACTATTATGAATAGCTAATTTGTTATCTAGGGTTTTGATGGAACCTGTTGGAGGATAATTTTCCTGTTACGTTAATATAGATTTGTTGTACCTTTTTCTCTAATTGGTCAACTACATTTATATTATGGTTGGTTGAAGAGCTCTCAAATGACTGTGCCTATTTAGTGTGTATTACTCGGGAGAGAATGCATATTTAGGTAGTTGTTTAACAACATTACTCCTAACGTATATGAGGGATCAATACGAAGGGCTTAAAGGCAGGATTAGGGATAACGGAAACTTGGTTCGATCTGAATGAGTCGTACTCAATGCCAGCTAGCATAATTCGGCAGAATATGTCTAGTAAATTGTGGTAATTACTCGGGAGAGAGTTACAACAGTCAGAGTGCTCATGATTGGTAGAGAAGATTTAAGTAAATTTATAGATAATGTAGCAGAAAGGATTCCGACAATAGGGGAAATCATAACTCTGTCGCACCCCCTTTTTCGAAAAGAGAAATCGGGTTCATGACATTTGGGAGGACAACTCGTTCCCTCTTGGGAATTGGGTTTTTTGGGTTGAAGAGTCGCCACCTAATGATTAAAGTGCATTAGGACACTAAAGAAGAGTTCGAGTTGGAAAACCAAAGTTCGGGTAAAGGCTAGAAATTATCTCGAGGGGAAGGTATTAGGCACCCCCCAAGATTCACTAGTGTAGTTCCCGGCCATGATACAATTGTGACTTTAACTAACAAGTAAGCAAATAAAGGTCTCAAATAGAAGGGGATTTACAC